TTTGATCCAAGGCTTCTACTGCATATCAGTGTATCATTAGAATTTTATTCTATATAATTAACTTAGCTAAATGTAATTAATGATAATAAAAATAAAAAAACAATGTTAACAAAAATTTTAAAATGAATGAAACTGATCCTAATGCTAAAAATTATCATTATTGTATATTTCTGCATTACTATGTTTAGAATAAAATTAAAAAAAATAGACAAGACATAATAAAGAAATGTAATTAGGCAAATGTATGCTATGAACCCAAATGAAAGAGAAAAGTATTATTTACATTTGCTTCTTAATTATATTAAAGGTGCTATTTCCTTTACTGATTTAAAAAGAGTTGGAGATTATTTATGTGCAACTTTTCAGGAAAGTGCATTAAAATATGAGATTATAAAAATTGAAAATCTGTATAATAGTGCTATGCAAGAAGCTGCACAATTTTAAATGCACTATTTTTTACAACAATTATTTGCAATAATATTAGTATTTAGAGAACTAGGAGATGTTTAAACTTTATGAAATAACAATTTTATTGATATGTCTGAAGATTTTGAAAAAAATAGTATTTCCAGCAATCAAAGTCAAATCAATGCAATTCTTCTTCATATTAAAAGTATTTTAGAAAAACATTACAGAAAATTAGATAAATTTAATCTTCTAACACTTGATCTATCTGAAAATCAATACACAGAAGAGTTATCAAGTTTAATATTAGAAGAACAAAGCTTTATAATAAATAATATTGATCTAGAAAAAATTGCATTGTTAAATGAAAGTCAGAAAATAATATTTGATAGAGTTATAGAATGTGTTAAAAAGAACCAAAAGGAGTTTTTTTGTTAATAGTCCAGCCAGGTCTGGAAAAACTTTTCTGTATAATTATTTACTTAGTAAAATTTAGTTATTATTTTATATTGCCCTTGCTATAGTTTCATCAGATATTGTCATATTAATTATGTCTGAAGGGTGAACTGCCTACTCATGGTTCAATATACCTTTAAATTCTGATGCAAGTTCAATCTGTAATATTAGCAAACAAAGCCAATTAGCTTTATTATTACATTTAGCTAAGTTAATTATATAGAATAAAATTCTAATGATACACTGATATGCAGTAGAAGCCTTGGATCAAA